GAAGTCTTGGATTCCGAATGCCGAAACAGCAAGTCACACTGAGTACGAGTACAGCAGCAGAGAACTGGTACGAGACTGGTCCCCGTACCGTACGGGGAGCCGGTATAAGTACCGGTGACACGTACGGTACCAGGGGCATTTCTGCGAAGGCCCCGAGGGCAGAACTGAAAATGCAGTATTTGAAAGTGGCGCCCGAATTGCAGCATGGCGCCAGTTGTCCAAAATCCTACGGTACCAAAGGAGGGGTTTGGAAAAAGGGAGCCGGGCCGAAAACGGGATGCAGCCGAAACAGCAAAAGATAGACCAGGGATCGAGCCCTGGCGAAGTCCGTAACAGCGCTGCTGTATGCTGGATGGGGCGCATGGTAGTCCTCGGGTGCATGTGGCACCTGTGAGTTGGGGAACGAGGTTGTGAGTGATACGAGAGACATACCTCGTGCTTGAAGGGAATGGCATTGGCCGAGATCTGCTCGTACTTCGTGGAGCTGTTGACGTCACCAGCGGCATTGTGGATAGGCTAGATAGGATCTGCCATTTGTAGTCTGGGCGCCGAGCGCCAGATAGGACGTCGACATTGGTTTTTTGTTGATGATGATCAGACTACTCGAACATTGTCACTTATGAGCTTTTTCTGTACTATTATTTGGCAGGACTCGTGATGCAATTCTGCTTTTGGTTCGAGGTCACGACTATCTGGTCTCATGTGTATGATGCTGCTTGGTTTCTGATGTTCGCTATCGCTGACTTTCCTTGCATAAATGTGTAATGCAATTTTATGAGATTTTCTTTTTCTCTTTTTTTCTTGCTCCTCCTTTTTGTTTTCATCGTTTTGGCTTTTTGAAAAGAAGATAGATGAGTAGCTTCGGGCATTTGCCTTCAAGTGCTGCAGGGTAGGACTGGGCACTTCAGTTAGTCTCCCGCTACCCTTTTTTTTTTTTTTTTTTTCCTGAACTTCGTATATGGGAAAACCTACGTAACGAGGTGATAACACTGATAAGAGCAGCCCCGATAAGTAGGCCCCAGCGTCAAAGGCTCCATCTATTGGTGGGGAGCTGCACCTGCTGGAAATCGGGTCCAAGTCACCCGCTACCCTTTCGTGGCCTTGGGGCTTTTTCCGTTGATACTTGTCTTCACTTCTTTCTGTATTTTATGCTTGATGGGGATAAGCAACCGGACTGGCACCCTCCCAGAATATAAAGAGGGCCCTTTTCTTTCAAAAAAAAAATAAAAAAAATGGGAACACGCATGTCCAGACTTCTTGTTCACTATTGTTAGCACAACTTTGCAGCTATCGTGTTACAGCAACAAAAACATGTGGATCTTCAGAGTACATAATGATGAATTGCCAGTCACTGAACAATCCCCTCCCCTTCCCTCCCCTTCCCTCCCCTCCCCTCCCCTCCCCTCCCCTCCCTCCTCCAACCTTGACCTGTGTACTCACCGAAGCTTTTGTGCCAAACATGTATATGTGCAGAGGGACCTGGTAGCCTGGCAGCCTTCCTCAAGGATCTTGGTCTGGTAACTTCTCTTCTGACATGGTCTGATGACGATGAGCATCTATCAACAATGAATCTGGCGAGTACCCTCACCAAGAAAGGTCATGAGCAGGTGCGCACTTCGCTTCATGCCACACGGTCTTTCAAGCTCAATGCGATACTAAGCTTTTTTTCTTTTTTCTTTTTTGAACAAAACCCAGGCTACCTTACTAGGAGAGGTGAGACGAGCAGCCCTCAGGGTAATGTTGTGTTCTAGACTCGAAACCGCCAATATCGGGATTCTACGGACTGTCTTACTAGGGGAGGTGAGACGAGCAGCCTCTACAACACTCTGCGCAAGGATGACACGCAAAATTCCGCCCCGACCCCAGGCAGGCCTGTCCTGAATCCCCTTTGAGCCCAGGGTGTTGTGGAGCCCAGGACTAGAGCCACGGTGATCACGGCAGCGGCAGCCCCTAACTTTTCGGAGAGGGTCAGTCAAATTCTCCACATGTACTGATGGTTTAAGACCAGGAGACTATTGCTCAAGTGATTCATTTGATGTTTGGACTGCTTGGAAGCCTTTCAATCAATAATATTAACAACAATTTCGTCAAAACGGACATATTTTATTTTTTGAACGAAATTGAAAACAAAAAAAATGGCCCTCCCATACAAGATCTTGGCATATCAAGATTACTAATCAATGTTTCCACATTGACCAAACAGGATTCATCCCGGGTCGGTACATCCTAGACAATGTTATGACATTGAACGAATCCGTAAGAAAAATCAGAGAAAGGAAAATAAATGCCGCCATTCTCTTTTTTGACTTTGAGAAAGCATACGACCAAGTCAACTGGGACTTTATGGAAGCGAAGCATGGAAAGAATGGGAGTTGGTCCAAACTTCAGGAAGTGGGTCAGGATACTCTACAAGGAAGCAGTTGGCTGTGTCCAAGTCAATGGATTGCTGTCAGACTGCTATCCGATTTCCCGTTCGGTCCGCCAAGGGGACCCTTTAGCTCTGTCAATCTTCCTATTCGTAATGGAGGCAATCGCCTCCTTTCTGCGCAAGGATCCCTCAATCCAGAGACTAGCCAGCACAGATGTAGGCTCGACCCACCAGATGGATTTCCCCGCGGCCATCATGTTCGCCGATGATCTAACAGTTCTAATCAGAGCATCAGATTCATCCTTCAGAATACTAGCGAAAGAAATGGAGGCATTCAGGTTGGCCTCAGAAATGAAGATCAGCTGGGGAAAAACAATTGGATGGTGGCTCTCCGACGACGAACCCCTTTCTCTTCAAGGGGAGGAAGCGGCTATGACATGGCAAACACCGGACACACCTACACGCTATCTAGGTACCTAATGACGAAAGAAGGTTTGGCACCCCAAATGGGCCCGGCTATGCTGGCCAAACAGATCAACAAAATCGGAAGATGGGGCAATGCCTTCACTTCCCTCATAGGCCGAGCACTGGTTCTCAATATGTCGGTCTTCTCAATGATGTGGTATATTGCATCTATCTGGACAGTTCCTGATAATTCGATTAAGGAGCTGAACAGACGGGGCCAGGACCTACCGTTGGACAGGAGACCCCAACAAAGACAAATGCATATCTAAGATAGCCTGGCAACACATCACAAGAAGACCACGCGATGGGGGCCTAGGAATCATTGACCCCGGAACTGAAACGAAAGCTCTGCAAATTAAATGGATCATAAAACTGCTGATGTATCCGGATAGCGCTTGGAACAACCTGGCTTTGGACAGYATTAGATCGATAGCTCCGGTACCCTCCCCGAACGACATGTCAGGCSTATTTTGGGTAAYGAACAAAGAATGGGTGATTTCCACAGGTCGGAGGAACCGGACGAGGAATAACGGACCCGAAGACCATCGGCCACCCACCCCCTACTGGYCGGCACTGCTGCGATCATGGAGGAAAATAATYCCTAGCAAGATAAACAAACCCAAATCTAAAGACGAAAKACTAAGRCAACCGCTMTTCGGAAATGAATGGCTGACAAACGAAGCCAACAACCCTCYTTTCCTAGAACCAAAGTGGCTATCGTGGATCAAGAATGGCATCTGGAAAGTAGACCACTTGTGGATGGAGGACAGAAAAGACTGAATAACAGAACAAGAAGCTAGTGCCCAACTGAAAGGCTGCCACAGATGAGAGATCAATCTCCAGTACATACTCAACTGTATCCCTCAAGAATGGAAAGATATCCTGGTAAAGGATGAGACCTGGAGACCGGGCGATTGGGGTCTCTTGATTCAAGACTCAACCCCCACTAGAGCCTACCAATTCTCTCACATGCAACAAGGCTCTCATACCAGAGCCACTTTTCTCTCATTCCCA